CCGAATTTGGTACCATTTAGTACAAATTTCCAAAACTTCATCGCATCGGTTCACCCAAAATTCAAATTCTACAAAATTTAGTTCACATTAGTAGGAAGTACCAAAATTTCCTAAATAGCTCAATTCTACCCCAACAATGATCCTAACCCCAAATGTAACGCTTCCAGCTCTATCGGTTCACCCATATCCAATTTAGTACGAATTTTCAAAATTCTCTACATACCATAATCATACACCCCAACAGTGATCCTGACTCCAAATTGCATTGTTCCAGCTCTATCGGTTCACCCAAATCCAAATTGTACCAATTATAGTACGATTTAGTACTTTTCGTACACATAAGTAAAAATTTCCAAAACTACGTACATATCCCAATCCTACACTCCGACGGTAATGTTACTTTCAATTTTCAGGATTCCAGCTCGATTTGTACCTCCGAATCAAATGTGTACCAAATATAGTACCATATAGTACTTTTCGTACACATGAGTACACGCTTCCCAAACTCTCCTCATATCGACCCTACTTCTCAACCTTAATTTGCATTCCAAATTTCAAGTTTTTAGCTCAATACATTCACATGCTACGAAATTGTACTAAATTTAGTACATTTCAGTACTTTTCGGATACTTATAGTTCGAATTTCCAAAAAGCCCTTTGCTACATCTATTCTACACTCCATCAGTGACTCTCAATCCAAATTTCAGAGTTCTGGCTCTACTGGTTCGCCAAATACAAATGATACCATATTTAGTACTTTTCGTACCGTTCTAGTACGAATTTCCAAAAACCTAGCCTTATCTGTCACCTTTGGACCAAGAGTGACACTCACCTAAAATTTCAAGATTCTAGCTTCAACCGTTTCGTCGTCCTTAACTCAGTCAATCACTTTACTCTTTTATTAGTATAGATTAGTATAGAAATACCCCATTACAACCACTTTGGTTAGGAAACTACGGTGAGGACATTCAAAATATCTCCTATACTAATAAATATCTGAAAATCATATCAAATTTCAATCACTTTGATTGGAAAATGAGAATGCGAACAGCACTTTTGCCTATTGAAATGATGTTCACTTGATAAAATTGCACCACAACATGTTTTCTTTATTTCCTTAATTTTCCCGACATTCGTTATTGTTTTTCAAAACCAATCAACAAACATATAATATCAACATTTTCCTATACTAATAAATATTTTACTTTGCAAATGAGTTTTATCCTTGTGAAATCTTAAACACATATCACAATCTCCCCTAACCAACGGTAAAAGTTTTATGTCGATACGTACATTCATTACTGAGTTATAGCCATTTCAAGTTGACCTTGTGTCAAAATATAGCGGCTACACGATTCTGTTGGCCTGGTACCTCAAATTGGAAAAATGAAGAAATCGCAAATGGGCAAAAACAAAAAACTGCAATGTTACCAGATCGCTACTATAGTGTTTGAATGTTAGTTAACAATTTTGAGCATACTTTTAGGCGTTACATTAAAATCACGAGCCATATAACATTCAGATGCATATAATTTTAAATGATGCGCCTGAAAGTATGCTCAGAATTTGTGAACCAACCATCAAATCAAAGAAAAATCGAACAATGTGGCAATGATGCTGGCGGTTTGTACTTTTTCGCTTTTGTGAAAATGCCAATTTCAAGCATTTTTTCAATTTGAGGTACCAGGCCAACAGAATCGTGTAGCCGCTATATTTTGACACAAGGTTAACTTTAAATGGTTATAACTCAGTAATGAATAAACGTATTGACATCAAATTTGTACCATTGTTTAGGGAAGATTGTGTAGTTTGTATGTGTATCGATCGAAACAAGTATTTTCACAACGGAGAACTATGAAAATCATGATAGTTTGCAAAAACGTTTAATTAGCTTTAAATGGCTGGAAATTAGTGTATTTGAGAAATTTTTGATATAGATTGTTGTTGAATGCTTGTTGTCATTGGGAAATTAATTCATTTTGAGAAAAAATAGGGATATTAAGGACATTTTTAAGAAATAAAGAAAACATGTTGTGGTGCAAGTTTTGCAATTTGACATAATTTCAATTGGTAAAATGTTGTTCCCTTTCACCGATTTTCCAATCAAAGTGGCTGTCATTTAATATTACAGACGTGTAGTCCCTATATATAAGTGTCCCGGATGATTTTAGATATTTTGTAGGTCCTAGCCATATATTCCAACCAACGTGGCTGTGTTTAGATATTTCACTTTCTTCTTCTTAGCTGGCTTGTGACAGAACTAGCGTTTCATAAGCCGAGCTTAAAAAAGATTTCCAGGCGCGTCGGTCTTATGCGCAGTTTTTTTTCAGTTTGAAAGACAACATACGGCAATGTTATCTACCACTTGATCGTTCCATCTTATTCGTGGCTTTCCCCTTCTGCGTGAACCAGAAAAAGCGAACCATTCGTTTTGCTTATGGCAGTACCAAGGTATATAAAATCTTACTACCTCGAAGCTGTAGGTCACACGACAAATTATCACCTTGTCTGAATCCTCGTTCGGTATTAAAAGGCTCCGAGTGATCCTTTCCGACTTTAACTGCTGACCTTGTGCCTGTTAAAGTTATCCTGCTTAGCCGAACGCAGAGTGAAAATCTGGTCAATGGTGGATTTGCCAGGTCTGATACGCTGGATAGCACTTTGTATGCGATGGGAAGAAGACTTATTCCTTTATAGTTGGCACATATCGTCTTATCTCCTTTTCTGTGCACGAGAGAATCAGTGGGCATGCATTCATCTAGCCAAATTGTGCTAATCAGCTGGTGCATGCACCTGACCAGCATCTGTCCACCAGTCTTGAATATTTCTGCTGGTAACCCATCGGCACCTGCTTTATTATTCTTCAGCCGATTGATTACTATTCTGACTTCATCTTACCTAGGTGGTATACACTCCATACCGTCATCTATTATTGGTTCTGGCGTATCCACTTCACCGCTACTATTTGATACCAGAAGATTCTCAAAATGCTCCTTCCATATCCTAAGCACGCTGTCTGTATGTCACCAGGTTTCCTTCTTCATCTCTACAGAAGGATGTGCCTGCACCAAAGCCTTCGGTTTGGTGATTTGCCCGTTGGCAGAATTTTCGGACTTCATCCTGACCCCTGTATATTTCGATTTGCTCACGCTCACGTTTTTGTTCTTCTTTCTCCGCAGGGTTGCCCTATACGCTGCGTTTTTCATATCAGTAGCATTATGACACTCCTGATCGTACCACGGATTTCTTGATGGTGGTCTTTGGTACCCAAGTGTTGCTTTTGCTGCAGTAATGGTCCGAATCAATATTCGCTCCTCGGATTGATAGGACGTCTAAAACACTAGATGAATGCCTTCCGTCTATCACAACATGATCGATTTGATTTCTCGTTGTTCGATCGGGAGAAATCCAAGTGGCCTTGTGTATATCGAGATGCTTGAATCTGATGCTGCTAACTAGCATGTTTTTTGCTCCCGCGAAGTCAATCAGCCTCATGCCTGATGGTTTTTCATGGAGGCTGAATTTTCCAACAGTGGGGCTGTTTCTAGGCGCTCGAAAAATATTTCTTTGGTCGGTTCATCTTTATCTTCGGCCGGAGCATGGGCGCACATGAGACTGATGTAGAAGAACTTCGCTTTTATACGGATTGTAGCAATTCGCTCATCTACTGGAGTGAATCTGGAGACGAGGTCTTTTATTCTCCTGTTAACCATAAATCCGCAGCCAAAATGTATCGTTTCATGGCAGCTGTAATACAGGGCGTAATTATCGCATTTCCTGTAAGGCAATAATATCGACTTTGTACTTCTTGAGAACATCCGCCAAAGCGAACACTGCGCCTGTTCTGTACAACGTACGCACATTCCAAGTGCAGATTCGCAGATTGTGGTCCTTTATACTGGTAACTGGTTTTCTATTTTTTTTTTTTTTTTTTTTTTTTTTTGTTTTGGCGGGCTACTTTCTATTTGGTATTTTTGTAAAATTTGCCAGTAATGTCGCAAGCGTAGGGGCATGTATACTTATCGTATTTGTATCCATACATAAAAACAAACCCTATTTTTAGTAATTTTTTTCTTTATTTTTATTTAATATTTTTTGTTAAAAATATGTACGTATATTTAAAAACTATATAAGATATATAAAAAAGTATTTTCTTAACAACTAAACAGACTTATTTGGTCACTATTGTTGCCTTTCTTGTAGAAGTTTATGATTGTTGAGATCAGGATAATAATTCCAAAAGGTATAGTTATCGTTACAGGCGGGCCTGTCATATTTTCAACATATTTTTAGATAATTTTCGATTGTCAATATATGCTCGGAAATCCAAGCATACACAATTCGCAACAATCTGGAATAAAAAATAAAAGATAAATTAAAAAATTATTTTTTTATGATAAGAAAGATGTTTTAATATTAAATGAACATTTGAATAATATCGTCCGAATAAATTTTAAACTGTGGCGGCATAACAATCTCTGTAAAGATTTGGGTGGGTTATGATTTGTTTGTATCATTTTAAATTTGGTTTTCCGTCGAATACTTTTTCGTTCCACACTATAGGGCGGAAATATAGCACTGATCGCTTTGAAATTTTCCATTAAGTTCCAGTAATGGTCAAGGACAACGCCTATAACTTTCGGTTATAATCAGATATAAATTTTGGGAAGATGTGGACCGAAAACATAATTTGTTTTTGGGTTTTTTTGAGTCGGGTTTTTGAGTTGGGTTTTTTTGAGTCGCTCTATAGGCCACAATTATAAGCCGAATAAAAATCAGAAAAACTGCGTATAATTCTGTGGCCTAAACAAACCATAGACAGAGGGTATATATTAGTCGGCAACACCAACTGACACTTTTGTACTTCCTTAGGTTTAGTTTTCAATACATTCTAATGTAGAACCACATCACATCAAAATATTTTTTTAATTGTCAAAAATTTTTCCCAGTAAATACCGAACTTTTCTCTACCGATTATCTGATTCACAAAAAACAAAAAAATGACTCGTCTGTTATTTGCGGCTAAGAGTACCATCCGACATCAGTGGAATCAGTGGCCATTAATATCCCTGGTCAAAAATTTCTTCAGTTACTCAAATGAAATTGCACATCCCCTTGCTAGGAAACCTCCCAATGTGGCACCTAAGGAAGCTGTGAAATGCATCAAATCAGGTGATGTGGTATTTTGCCAAGGAGCAGCTGCAACTCCCAATGTCCTCATCAGTGCCATGGTGGAGCATGCCAAAGAAAATTGCCTCAAGGATATAACCGTTTGCCATATGCATACCGAAGGTCCTGCCGTATATTGCACCCCCGAATATAGTGAAATATTCCGTTCCAGCTCCTTCTTCATGGGTGGAAATGTTCGCCAGGCTGTGGCTGAGGGGCGTGGTGATAATTATGCCATATTCCTTCATGAAATTCCGCTACTATTTTATAAGAAAATTGTCCAGCCCGATGTGGCCTTGATACATGTCTCACCACCAGATAGGCATGGTTTTGCGTCGCTGGGTACAAGTGTGGATTGTGTAAGGGCGGCGCTGTTGAACTCGAAGAAAATCATCGCCCAAGTAAATAAACAAATGCCCCGGACTTATGGTGATGCATGCATACATTCCTCACATTTCGATTTTATGACTGAAGTGGATGTCAAGCTACCACAACATGGTGGAAAACCAGGTGAAAAGGAAATGGCAATTGGTAAGCTGGTGGCTGAAAATTTGGTATGTGATGGAGCCACACTGCAAATGGGTATTGGCGTTATACCTGATGCTGTGCTGAATGCTTTACATAATCACAAGGATCTAGGTATTCATTCGGAAATGTTTGCCAATGGTGTTGTGGATTTGGTCAAAGCTGGTGCAGTCACTAATCGTTATAAGAAAATGCATCAAGGTCGTATTATTGGATCCTTTCTAATCGGCAATGAGGCTCTATATGATTTTGTCGATGATAACACCTCCATTGAAATGTATGCCATCGATTATGTGAACAGTGTCAGTGTGATCAAGCAATTACCGCGGATGACTGCCATTAATTCTGCTATAGAAGTGGATCTGACCGGCCAGGTATGTGCAGATTCGATTGGTACGAGATTTTATTCAGGATTTGGTGGTCAAGTTGATTTTATACGTGGCGCTGCTGAGGGTATTGATGGCAAGGGTGTACCTATTATTGCCCTGCCCTCGGTTACCAATAAGGGTGAGAGTAAAATTGTGCCGACCCTTAAGCCTGGTGCTGGTGTGGTCACTTCGAGAGCTCATGTCCATTATGTGGTTACGGAACATGGAATTGCTTCGCTGTTTGGTAAAAATATGCGTCAACGTGCCTATGAATTGATACAAGTTGCCCATCCCGATCATCGTGAGAAACTGGAAAAGGCCGCATGTGACCGTTTAAAGGTTATGCCTTCGAAGTGTTGAATGAAATTTGGAATTTAGATTTAATTGTAATAAAATAACTATATTTTCAATCTTAGAAGGGTGTGCATCAGTTTTAATTACCTCCAGGTAAGCGATTGGCCCTTCTGGTTCTCTGAGGGTTACATTTCTCCTATCCTTGGTCCATATATGGGCATAGTTCCAATATACAGATCCCTTTGCTTTTTATGTATTTTAAATATCCTGCAAAATTACTCTTCGTGCAAAATTGTCAGTATAGGTCTGGTAGCTCTGGAGTTCTCTGAAAACTTAAACGTTAAAAAATTCACGGTTCTGAAGGCCTTTGAAAAGATATTCTATTCTCCATAAAATTGCAGGCCTCTAGCTTTGAAGGCCTTTACAAAAATATTCCACATAAATATTCACGCCTCTTTTCAAGGCCTTTGAAAATTTTCTATATAAATATTCACGCCTCTTTTCAAGGCCTTTGGAAAAATATTCTATATAAATATTCACGCCTATGATGGCCTTTGAAAAATGAATCTTTAAAAAATCCACGCCTATGATGGCCTTTGAAAAATGAATCTTTAAAAAATCCACGCCTATGTAGGCCTTTGGAAAAATATTCTATATAAATATTCACGCCTATAATGGCCTTTGAAAAATGAATCTTTAAAAAATCCACGCCTATGTAGGCCTTTGGAAAAATATTCTATATAAATATTCACGCCTGTGATGGCCTTTGAAAAATGAATCTTTAAAAAATCCACGCCTATGTAGGCCTTTGAAAAATTAATCTTTAAAAAATCCACGCCTATGAAGCCTTGGAAAAATTAATCTTTAAAAAATCCACGCCTATGAAGCCTTGGAAAAATTAATCTTTAACAAATCCACGCCTATGATAACCTTTGAAAAAATAATCTTTAACAAATCCACGCCTATGATAACCTTTGAAAAAATAATCTTTAACAAATCCACGCCTATGATAACCTTTGAAAAAATAATCTTTAACAAATCCACGCCTATGATGGCCTTTGAAAAATTAATCTTTAAAAAATCCACGCCTATGATGGCCTTTGAAAAATGAATCTTTAAAAAATCCACGCCTATGATGGCCCTTGAAAAATGAATCTTTAAAAAATCCACGCCTATGATGGCCCTTGAAAAATGAATCTTTAAAAAATCCACGCCTATGATGGCCCTTGCAAAATGAATCTTTAAAAAATCCACGCCTAAGAAGGCCTTTGAAAAATTAATCTTTTAAAAATCCACTCCTATGAAGGCCTTTGAAAAATTAATCTTTAAAAAATCCACAACTCTGAAGACCTTTGAAAAATGAAACTTTAAAAAATCCACGCCTATGATGGCCCTTGAAAAATGAATCTTTTAAAAAATCCACGCCTATGATGGCCCTTGAAAAATGAATCTTTAAAAAATCCACGCCTATGATGGCCCTTGAAAAATGAATCTTTAAAAATCCACGCCTATGATGGCCCTTGAAAAATGAATCTTTAAAAAATCCACGCCTATGATGGCCCTTGAAAAATGAATCTTTAAAAAATCCACGCCTATGATGGCCCTTGAAAAATTAATCTTTAAAAAATCCACGCCTATGATGGCCCTTGAAAAATTAATCTTTAAAAAATCCACGCCTATGAAGGCCTTTGAAAAATGAATCTTTAAAAAATCCACACCTGTGAAGGCCTTTGAAAAATTAGTCTTTAAAAAATCCACGCCTATGAAGGCCTTTGAAAAAATAATCTTTCAAAAATCCACGCCTCTGAAGGCCATTGAAAAAATAATCTTTAAAAAATCCACGCCTCTGAAGGCCTTTGAAAAAATAATCTTTAAAAAATCCACGCCTATGAAGGCCTTTGAAAAATGAATCTTTAAAAAATCCACGCCTTCAGTATTTTCTGTCTAAACTCCACATGTGATCCTCGTTCCAAATTTTACAACTCAGGTTAAAAGTTCAAGTTTCGTTTTATTTTCTATATAATCCATTTATCATTTCCAAATAAATCTATTTAATCCCCAAAAGTAGGTAATTACAAATATTTTCTAAAGTTTTAACTGAATAACAGAAAAAACTTTTCTTTTTGGTTTTTCACCAAATCATTCAAGCAAATATTTTTGTTGGAAAAAAGTGGAAACAGAAAAGTTTTCTCCTTTATATTTCATTAGCGTCTGTAGATATGTTTGCTTATTAACTTTTTAAAGCAATAAAACCACCAGCAAACAGCGGCAGAAGTAGCAGCAGCATCACCACCATACCTTGCCCTCAAAATGCCAAGGTGTTAACGCACAGTAATGTGTGTAGCTGTGTCTGTCAGTCTGCCCAACTGGCTGCCAACCTGTCTACATGCATGAATACATTGTAAAGTGCTACTAATTTGCAGTTGTTATTATGTGGGGGGCAGGCAGAGAGGTTGAAAGGAAGCAATAAAAAATTGTATTCTTTAAGGAGGAAGTTTTCAAGTTAAATTTGAATTAACTCAATAAAACACCAAAGAATAAAAAAAACGTAACAGTATAACAACAACTTCAATGGAAATGAAAAACACCAACCAGCCAAACCAAATGAACGAAGGAAACCAACCAGAAGGGCAAACACGCAAATACTACATAGTCAATCCGCACCAACTGAAAACGAAAAAAAGCAGAGGAGAATGCCTATCCTGCCGCAATGAAATACTAAAGCAAAAACAAAACACATCAAGGCAATGAACAAAACAACATTATGAAAACATTAAAAATTAATTTATGATTTTAATGTAATTTAAACAAGGCAAGCAATGACTTTTCCCCACGTACAAACAAGAGGGGAGAACTTTCCTTAAATATGTTTTTTATTTCCTTAAATATGTCATTTTATTTCATAGAATCTTCAATTTGTAATTTTGGAAAATTTTAAAAGAGAAATTTAAATGGGAAATGAGGAAAGGAAAGTTAAATAGGGAAATAAAAACAATGTTTACTTTTTTAAGGAATATAAAACCGAACGGTTGCATACAATTTAAAGGGATAAATGCAAATTGGACTATTAAAGTACTTTGATCAGAATTTCCAAAGGTTAATTCGTTTGTTAGAGGTGTCGACTAAATTGCCTGCAGTCATACAATTTAAAAAAACTCACATTAAATTTGGCTTTCGATGGAGTTTTTTTATGATAATTTACAACGATCGATAATAGTAACCCTGCAGATTGATCGGTATTCTCACAAGACATAACAGCCGGCATACCCACTTACACAAGACTGTCCATAAGGGATGTTATCCCTGTCATAGCCTTATGGACAGGACTCCCCCACACAGACACGCCAGGAAAGATCTTCATGATTTAGAAAGAGAGGTCCAAAGGTACAAGCGTGATCCCCTAGATCAAGAAGCCTATCAAGCAGGTCTGAATGGTATTCACACAGATGCAGTCGCTCAGGCAGTAGAGCAATATCGAGTGAATGCCATAATTGGAGACCACCCCCCATCCATCGTAGCTGAGGAGAAGCAGCTGTCAAAGCAAACACGAGTAGCCTTAGCTCAACTAAGATCAGGATGGTGCAACCGCCTCAATTCATATTGGACAAGAATTGACGGCTCGATACCTAACACATGTCCGGCATGTGGACTAGGACCACGCGACACGTTGCACCTCTTCAATTGCCCAACTAAGCCTACTCACCTATCGCCGAATTCACTTTGGACGCAACCCGCTGAAGTTGCAGCATTCCTGAATTTGGAGGTAGAAGAAGCTGAACCAGACGATGCATGACAAAACGACATGTATTATGTTGCTACAACAACAACAACTTACACAAGATTAGATGAAAGGGAAGCAACTGGTGTAGAGCGTGTGGAGAAGACAGCGAGACGTTAGTACATTCTTAGAAAAATATACATTTCGTGAAGTAGCCGACCTAAGGGGATGTGAATGCAAAAAACTGATGGACTTCACCCACAAAAAAGAATTCCTAGAAGTTTTGGAAAACCAAATCCAAAGATGATTTCTTATAATTTTCTTCCATTTCTATAGTGGACAACAGGCACCACACGACCATATGTCCTAATATTGGACATGTGGTCGTGTAAACCACCCCTCTTTTCAACCTTATCTACCCTATCAAAATATCGATTATGTGCAATTTGTACATCTAATTAAATGGGCTTATTCACTAATTGGTTTCAAAGTTAATTGGCTGGAATTCGACATCTGTCAAACTGGTTCCGCTGAAAACGTCGCTGCTGTAAGTGAAAGTGTTGTCGAAGATCCGAATGTGTCGATTTCTCGTCGCTCTCAGGAAGTAGGACTGTCCTAAGGCACAGTATGCCGTTTTTATACCATCCACCATAGTATGGCGGGTATATTAAGTTTTCATTTCCATTTGTAACTTATCAAAAAAAATATTTCCGGCCCCTATAAAGAATATATTCTTAATCAGCTCACATATAAGGGTACCCCCCATTTTTCGATATTTTTGTGTTTTTGATTGCGTTTTCAACCGAATTCGTTGATTTGAATCATTCAGTCTTTATTGTGTACTAAAATTATAAATACAGATCCACTTTTTCCTGTAGCCCCATATAACGGTACACCCGAATATTCACTTCCGACTCTATAAAGTATATATATTCTTGATCAGTTTGTTAGTCCGTCTGTTGTAATCGCGCTATCTTCTGAAGGAATTAAGATAGGGTGCTGAAGTTTTCAATAGCATTTTAAGGATTTTGGACACGTTCTTTAACAGAATTATCTGGAATTCTGTGTTTCTCAGTGGGTAAGAAATATCCCTATTAAAAACTATAAATATTTATCCAATTTTTCGGGTAGTCCCCATATAACGGTATTTTGTTCACATTTTATAACCCTAATGGTTGGTATTTTTAGATTCCAATTTGGTACGAAATCTCCCCACTAAAAAGTATAAATATCGGTCCCCTTTGCAGATCGCATTTATGATTCGAATTGGATGAATTTTGGCACAGCTCATTTATTTGGCCCAAAAGCCGAACCCTATTGGGAAAAATCGGTTCAGATTTACATATAG